ATTTGTCTTTTAAGCTATTTTAACATGTAATCCACTAACATTAAGTACATTTAAAGTACAGCACAACCATCACCACATCTATTTCTAGAACTTTTTTCAAAATCATGTCATACAGAAACTCTGAACCCATTATAATCAACTCCCAATTACCCTCGTTCCTCAGCCCCTGGTAACCTCTCTTCTGTCTCTGACGGATGGAATCAAATGCTATTGCATGTGTCAGAATTCTTTCCTAAGGCTCAATAATATTCCATAGTAGGTACATACCACATTTTCTTTATCCATTCATTTGTCAGTGGACTTTTTGGGTTATTTCTGCCTTTGGGGAAATAATGCCTCTACAGGTATTGGTATATTAATACCTGACTACCTGCTCAGTTCTTTTGGATCTGTACGTAGGAATGGAATTGCTGGGTTATAAGGCAATTCTATGTTTAGTTTTTAGGGAGTCAATGTGTTTTCCATCATTTTATAGCTACACCATTTTATATTCCCACCAGTGATGGATGTGGGTCTGATTTTTCTATGTACTTGCCAACACTTGTCATTTTACCTTTTCTTTTCGTTCCTAATAGCCATCCTAATGGATATGAAGTGGTAATTAATTACTTTCAACTGAACTTTTCCCTTAGGGGAGAGCCATTGCTGTACTTTCTGGTTTGTGTATAGTTCATGTTGGTTGCACTCCTAAGAAGGAATTTGCTGGGAAATTCCTCCTAGAAAGCACTGTGCTATAGCCAATTCCTTTACCTGTAGCATGAGTTCATCATATTCTTTCTTGGTAGACTTTTCGTGAATGAAGTATGGTAGAAGCCTCTGGACTTAACATTTGCTCAGGATCAATCTAGGAAACATTGTTCAGGATCAAAAGCCCTAGGCATCCATCTGCATGATAGAAACAACTCTCTGGTCTGCCCCCGCCCCCGAGTGTGTTTAATAGACCAAGACTCCTTGTAGCCAAGTTAATTCTTATCAAATTCATGTGGGGAGCAGTGTCATAAGGGATTTCTGCATGCCTGTAGGATTTTGTTCTCTTTAATACACTTGTTTGAGTACCACTGTTAATATCAACATGACAGTGTCACAACAGACTTCAATTTTTATTTGAAAGTTTAATTAATTTCTGAGCCGAAATTAGGTTACTGTTATTTGTTTTGTTTCTGAAATATACATTCAACAGATGGAGAAAGAGCTCCTTAATTTACACTTAACTTATTTACTTCCATAAGCGAGATTGTCAATCGACAGGCATCACTAGACTGAGCATTCTCAATTTTAGAGTCAGGTCCTGTTAAGAACCCTAAGCCCAAGGACTGTATTAGGTTTGTCCCACTGTGTCATTTGCTCAGTATGATTTGTGCACTTCGTTTGTCATCCATCTCCATTGGGCAGCATAGGAATGTCACATAGAGGATTAGAAAATATGCTTAGAAAAAAGGTTTTCTTTTTTCTGTCTTTAAGCTCCAGGATAGCTTTTTGTTTTGAAGTCTCTCATTTGCTTATGCAAACACAGGTGATCCATGGTTTGTAACAGTGAGGCCCTATCTGAGAGTTTTGCTGGTCAGCCTGTGCTTCTTAAGCACGTACTTGCTCAAGGGCCGAGAGTATGGCCCTGTGAGACACTGCAGCAGCAAGAATCTGCCATGATTTGTGCCTCCACTTCATTCCAGCTAAGTGGCTGCCATCTTTAAGTTGCTTTCCTGGCTTTCAAGGTCAGACAGGTATTTATTGAAGGTGCCACCTTATTTCTCCTTCTCCCCAATTCCTCTTGCTTCACATAACATGGTAAGACAATTTCCTTTAGAAGTAAAAAAGATAAAAATAATACCTCCCAATTTTTAGTCAGAAGAAAACCTATGCTGGCCATCTCTGGATAAACCCAGTATATTCTCTTTAATTTTATTGAACTAGCCTTTTCTTCTTTCTCCCCACAGCCCTAGCATGGCTTGTCAGATGTTTTGATTATATTGTCTTACAAAATATGCATTGCCAATTTAGTTTATAACCTGAAACCAAAGGTCACAGCCACCCATCTGTAATTTTGAGTCTCTGGCCATGGTACAGCCTTTCCCAGGCAAATGCTGCATCCAGCCAGAGTCAGCCCAACTCTAAAGTCCACTTCCCTGTCCCCTCCAAACACCACCTCCATAATAAACCCTAATAACAGAATAATACCCCTGCAGCCATTTTCCTTAAGTAATTGATATTTCTAATTCCAGTGAATGAAAGACAACTTTGAGCCTGGGGAAGTTAGCAGATCAGATTAATCTGTGCCTTCTCAGTACTGCTTGTTTGGTTATCGTTCCTTGGAAATGCAATCAAGATGTTTTTAGCAGGAACACAGTGGAAAGGGTGCCCCTCCAAGGGTTCTTGGGAGCTCAGTGATGCCCTTGGATTGTCTCAGCACTGCTCAGGCAGCCAGGGGACCCTTTACTCTGCTTCACACTCACTTCCTCCTGGCCACACACTGCAGGCAGGTATGCTGGGAGCAGCCCAAGAGAACCCTCTGGCCAGAGCAGCACCACATCTAAAGAAATGCTCATGGCAAGAGCTCTTCATTTATTAACTTTCTCTGGATGCTTTCCATTTACACATCCAGGTCTTATTTGCTCAATGCAAGCATGCATTTTCTTTTTTTAAAAAAGTATATTTTTACAATGGACATTGTATTATGACCACTTTAATACTATTTAGAAAGAAAACAATCATTCCTGATTCTACTTTTCCAATATGGCATGCCCATATCTTCATCCTCTGAGTTTATATAGATATATGTGTGTATATATGTATGTACATTTTTTTTTTGTTGTGTACCCTTTTCCCCATCGCCCATATGAGAGATCTTGCCATCAGCTCTAATGTCCGTTCTACTTCTGAAACTCTGTCAGTGCCATGACACAGTGGAAGGAAAGGAGGCTGTGGAGTCAATCAAAATTTAGTATGGATGCTGGCACAACCATGCCATAAGTGGGCGGCCTTAGGCAAGACCCTCATTTGCCTGTTGGTCCATCCATCTTTCCCTCTGTTTTTTCTACCTCCCTTCTTATTGTGTGCATATAACATGCTAGATGTTGGAGACTTGCACAATGTTTTCCTATCCAAAAATGTTCATATGGAGGCATGTAAAGTAGTGTTGAGAATAAAGGGACCAAACAAAGTGTGCTTGCATATTCCAGGCTGCTCAGCAAATGTTATTCTGTGTTCTGTCAGCAAGTCTCCTTGTTCTGCAATTTCCCTGGCTTCTGTAACTTCCATTTCTTAGCAGCCTAAGTAATAATGGGCAATTACATTCATACCTAGACAATGTGAGAGACTTGTAACTGGGCTTTAAGGCCCCAAATCTATTCCATTAAATTCTTCCAATAGCCATCATGTGCACTTCTGAAGCACATGTTCTGTGCTATTCTGTGTTATTTGTCTGTATTATTCTCTGTTTAAAAACTTTCAGGGCTTTCAAAGCTTATCAAAAAATATTCTGAATTTCTTCCTGGACACTCAAAGCCCTCGAAGTATTCATAGTACTTGGCTTAATACCTGAATTCCTCTTGGGATTTCAGCTCTCAAGAAACCTGCGGTATTTTTCCACCCACTGAAATGACTCACCCTCTTTGAAAGCCTTCATCTACTAACACACATACAGAGAGTTGCATTATCACCATTGAGAGAAGAAAATAGCACATGAGCCAAGAATTTGAGTTTCACTCTTTTTTTTTTTTTGCCATGCCTTAGTTCCTTTCTGCTGCTAGAACAAAATGCCATAGACTGTGTAATTTATAAAGAACACAAACTTATTTTCTCACAGTTATGGAGGCTGAAGTTCCAGGTGCTGGAATCTGGAGAAGGCTTTCTAGCTGCTTCTTCCATAGAGGAGGGTACCATTTATTCCCATGAGGGCAGGTGAAAGGGCCAAGAGGAAAAGGAAGCCAAACATGGCCTTTTATAATGGCATTAATTCTACCCAAACTTTCATGGCCCATTCACCTGCCCATGGTCCCCTCTCCCAACACAACTATAGTAGTAACCAAATTTCAGCATGCATTTGGAAGGGAACAAATATTAAAACTATAGCATGCTGTATAGACTGCATAACTTCCCCCATACTTCTGAGGGTAGAGTGTTTCTTTATATTGCTTTTATTTTTCAACATAGATTAGTAGCGGCTGCCCACTGTAGCTCAAAGGAAAGGCTAACAAGGTTATTATTTTTTTTTGTACCCTCCATATTACACCATCCATGAAAACCTCTTAGGGGATTACAATTCATTTCTCTAGCAAATTATTTTATTGATTCATCTACAGGATTAGTTATCAAAGCATGTTGAGCTGAGACAATATTGCAGTGTAGTAGATTTTTGCTTGATTTGCCAGAACTCCTCCAGCTGGTTACAGCATCAGCAGCAAACAGGTAGACACAAGAATGTGTCAGGGTACACCCAGCAGTTATCATTTCAAAGGGCTGTTGGTTGGGTTAGTGTCTCCATGAGATCTTTGTGTTCAGAATCCTGCTGCAGTTCTGTAACTCACTTTTAGGGCTACTTCTATATTTTTTATAATTAGTTATTTTCTTGCATTTATATTTTATTTCACCCACAGTATATACACACAGTATGTACATATACCCACAGTATATACGTCTAGTGTGTGTGTGTGTCTGTGTGTCTGTGTGTAGAATAGATCAAAGTACTTTAAATTTTGACTCCTGGTTTATACCTTGGGAACCTGTCTAACAAGCTCAGGCTCCCCTCTCCCTCAAGTTGAAGAAGTAGGAGGAGTCATGGTTTAAGTCTCCTTGGCTCCTGTCAGCACTAGCATTTTGTAACTTTTTTATCTATGAGTCCAGTCAATTTAAAATGTGACTGATTCCTGAACGAAGTGCCTTCTGATTGCTATTTGCAAGATTTTGTCTATACTGAAATTAAAATGACTCCTAACAGCAAGTAGACCTTTTTTAGCATATTGAATCTAGACCATTCTAATTTTTGTTTTCTTTTCTCTCCTCAGTTTGCTGTTTTGTGGTTCACAAGAGGTGCCATGAATTTGTTACTTTTTCCTGTCCAGGTGCAGATAAGGGGCCTGACACTGACGTAAGTAGACTGGAATCATCATTTGATAAAAATGCGATTTTTGAGATTTTTAAATGCCTCTACAACTGTTGTTTTGGCACACACTCTTAATGAGAAGACTTCAATTAGTCTCATGTTACTTTAGCTTGTACTAATGAACAGATTTATAGTCTTTTTGAGCCCTGGACTCCTTCTCAGAAGAATTCTCAGAGAATTATTGCTTTTGCTCTTCCATTCTCGGCATCCACATTGACTAAATCCACCAAATTTATAGTAATAACTGTACTGGCAAATTTTACAATAGATGTAAATCACCCTTCAGTTTATTTCTAATAGGACCAACATTGGTTTTGGCCACCATGACAAACTGCTCCTAGTTTGCCTCATGAGATTCATGCTGCACTTTGATATATATTGTAGGTGCTGCTGTTGATGGAAATACTCACCTTTTTCCCTGAGCAATGATCTCTAAAGCTGCCAATACTTTTACCGATTTTTGTCCTAATTCTGCCTATCTATTGAGCATCTCTGTTGCATCTCTTCTCACCAAAAAATGAGACCAGCAAATGACAATGAGAGTTAGGAGACAGGGAAATACCAACATCTAAATTATATTTGGCAGAAAGAAACTTGGGTGTGACATGAGAAATAATATTTTAACTGAAAAAAAAAAGTTGCCAAGTAGGCCTGGACTAGTGGACAGTTCTATTTGAATTGCTTTCCAGGTCAGTTTAGTTATTCATCCTTGGGTTACAGGTTTCAAGTGATTTCCACTTTAGCCCTGGTTCCTATCAGGAAACTGATTTTTCAAATGGCTTTCTCAGCCACGGCAGGGGTCAAGTCTTCCCTTCTCAGATAACATTTTCACAGGGGGCTCTGAGGGATTCAGATTTGCTTTGTTGTAACCCGTGTAATGAAGGAGCTTACCGCTTGACCCTTCGTGCATGGGAACATGCCATGATCTGGCTAAGGTGCTGGCAGAGGCAGCAATTAATGGGTGCTGTAGGCTATCATGGTTTCTCAGAGGCTTCAAGGATATGGAGCCAGAGGCCACCTTACTTTATCTCTTTGTGGATGAGGAAGTCTACTTCATGAATATTGAATGCCTTGCTACATACAAATGAAACTAGTTAGTGTCCCTGAACCCCCACTCCCATTTTCCATATGTTCTTTCTTCCTGGAATATTATCTCCATTTGGGGGTATCTTAGAGATAAAAATAGATAGGAAGTTAGTGTAGCAACTTTTCTAAGAATCCCAAGTCCTGTTCTTATTTTGAAAGAGGCCCAGAGCTTCGTGTGGTAGTCCTTTTATTTTCTTGCTCATTATTCCCGTCTCCATCCTCTTTATCTTTCCTCATTTCTCTTACGTCTTCTCTGTGCTGTCAAGGAAGGAAATGTAGGCAGTGATTAGTTTTGTCTCACCCACATCTCTTCCTTGTTCCTCTTACCACTTTTTCATTCTTTTGGTTAAATATTTTTTTATTGAAAATCTATAATGCACCAAACTATGGTCTGGGCCTTGGGGTACAATCAGCACAAAGATGTGCTCTGTACCCTCATGGGCATTCTGCTGGGGGAAGGTGGATGTTAAAAAGTCACTTATTAAAATAGGATACAGATGCACTGAGCAGGTTTACCTAAGAGACCCACTCTAGGAGGCCAGGGAAGCTTCCTGGAGGAAATAGTGTCTAAACTGAGCTTCAGCAATGGGTAGAAAAAGGCAGGGAAAGAGAGAGAGAGAGAGAGAGAGAGAGAGAGAGAGAGAGAGAGAGAGAGAGTGAGTGAGTGTGTGTGTGTGTGTGTGTGTGTGTGTGTGTGTGTGTGTGTGTTAGGGTATAAGGAGCGCTGGAAGGAGCTGTTTCAAAAGGAAGAAGGCTGGGCATAAGATGTCTTATTAAGGATTTGGAACACACGCTTAACAGCACTGGATTGGGGGCCCAGGAAAAGTTTTAAACTGGGAGTATTGTAATCCCAGTTAACCTTACAAAGGTTACCATGATCTTCTTGTAGGAAATGGACTAGGTGGGAAGTTGGTTGGTGTACGGGTGGAGATAGGGTTGTACCAAAGGCTGGAGAACCTGCGTAGAGGTGCTTACTGTTAGAGCTGAAGGCAAGGGGATGGGGAGAGTGAACATACTCAAGAAACATTCAGAAGTCAAATCAGCAGTTCTTGGTCATTGGAGCTAAGGAGACCAATGATTAGGGCTTTCTCAGCCAGAGCATGAAAAATGTCATCTGTTTGTGTGTAAAATGGCTTTATTTGTACAAATTTGCAAGTAAGTCTTAGGAAGTCACAAAATGGCTGAACTGAACTGTACCAGGGAGGTATTGGAAAAGCATCAGGGTATAGAACTGCACTGTGATGGCAGGATTTTTTTTGTTTTAGCCTTTTCTGATAAGTTTTTAAATCACAAATTTATAGAGCTGGGAGGATATTAAAGGCTGATGTAGGTTAACCTTATTTTGTAAGTGAGGAGATAAAGGCATATTGAAGAAAGGCATAAAAGGCCTGAGTACCATTTTATGTTGTCTTTTGGATATGGAGTGGATTTCAAGTTGGCTCCTTCAAGGAGCTGTTCATGAGGGGAAAGAGATGAGCATTGGTGGGTAGATGGGTTGTGTGTGTGTATGGGTGGGGCATTTGATAGCTCCTACCTGGTACACTCATGATCAAAGTACATTATATGCATGTATGGAAATGTCATGATGAAATCCATTACTATGTACAATTTAATACATGTCTATAAAAAAATAAACTAAAAAAAGAGGAAGTTTTGACCAAATACTTTCCAAAGTGTTAGAAGCCATGAGAAAGACCAGTTAAGAGACTGGAAGAATCAGGAAAAATGAAGTAGAATTTAAGAGAAAAAATCTGCCCTGAGCAATTTTTTCCCTTGAAAAATTAAAAATTTTGAATTGAAGATTTTTTATTCCATGGGGAATGGTTAAGATGCACTGTTCCTGTGCTCCATAATAATGCCGCCATTGAGTTCACAGACCCCTAAAGCATTCACAGATGGGGAAAGAGAAGTTACAAAGCTTGTGACACCAATAAATATCATATCTGTTCTACCATTCTCAAGATGAAAGGAATAGAAAAGCACTGAAAAATAAACCAGCAGTACCCAGATGGCAACCAGATGGGAAGAGCGTTCCAAGTTCTTTTGAACAGAGATGTTCCTCGGGGCTTAAGGAACAGCCATAGTTGAAAGCCTACATTAGTTCAGGGGATCTTAGAGAAGAAAGGGCTTTTGGGTTCAGTGGAAAGACCCTTGAAGATTCTCAGGCCAATTTCTTAGCGCTTCACCTGCTCTGGAGGAGCTGCGATCTCTGGCCAGGCACTCCCTCCCAACATGCCTCAAGGAAAGAGGCAAGCACTTCCTAGACTCTGAGTTTAATCCTGTACACATTGAGTAGAGCAGAAAGGAGCATGAAAGGCTTTTCAAGAACTAACATTACAGGTGAAGTCAGTCATTGGTGCCACAGATCTTTGGAGTCAGCAGCTGCAAAGTGTGTGTGCTACGGTACATGGCTCACAGAACAAGCAGTGTTTTCACTCCATGTTGGAAAGGTCTTTGGAGTCTGGGCAGAATTTGTGTTGTGGGGTGCAGCTTGAGAATGTATCCTGGGGCTATGCCCACTACTCCTGCATCCAAGGTTTTACAAGGCAAAAACATGACAATTTTTTAAAAGTGGTCCATGTTTAGAAATAGCTTCTCTTGGGCTGGGGATATAGCTTAGTGGTAGAGTGTTTGCCTAGAAATAGCTTTTCTTTTCTCCCCACCAAATTAAAATGTGGCCTGGGACATAGACAGTAGAAGAGGGAATGTGACCTTGTTTTGCTCTGGGCATTACAGGTAATGAGCAGGACTACAGAAGAGCCACAGTGCTGTTATCTTTGAACCCACCTTTGATTGCCTGGGTTGGGTTCTCTTCCCTGCCCTGACCATGATGAGGTGGGGCAGGTGGGCTGAGGGTAGGGGCCCGGCCCTTCTCCAGAAGCTCCTTCCTGTTTTTAGAATGACCTCCATCCATCTGAAATTATGCTTGTTGATAAGACCCATCCAACTAGAGGGAAAAATGGGGTATTTGAGCCTTGAAATATGTATGCATGTGTGTGTGTGTGTGTATTTATTAGCACATTTAATCTTTTTATGTTTTCTGTTTTCTCCATGTGCCTTGAGTGAGGACAAAGCTGTGAAGCAGCCCTTTTAGGAATCATAGCCATCTCCGTCCTGCTGTTACTGCCACAGTGCAGAAGAGAGAGGAGCCATTCTTATGTGCTCTGTATAAAATAGCACAAATGCTGAACAACTGTTTATTGTCCATATGATTTTGGACTGTTTGTTCTGTGCATTGGATATAGAGACATTTGATAATTGATGGTGGAGGTATCTATTAAAAGATTTCACGCATCCAGAGGGAATAAGCTTTTCTTACATTTTGGTTTGCATTTTTGTTGAGCTGTGCTGTTTTTATTTGCCTTATGCATTTTCACCAGTGTCCCTGGCCTGTCTGGGGAGACAGACAGTGTTCATACACTATTTTACACATTTTTTATCTGAACAGAATTCAGGTGACTTCCTGGGTCATTGGGAGATGCATACAGGTGATGTCAGAAGTTTGCTGACACTTGCTAGAACCTTTAGAAGGGCACCTGGCGAAAAAATTAAGTAGTTAATAGGTAGACAGGCTTGCCTCGGTTCTGTGAAGATTGTGAAACTTGCCCACTTGAAGAGCCTAAATCCATTGACTGTCCACACGTAGAACCCAAAATGGAGCCCATTGTGCAAACTGCTCCAGAGCAAAAAGTGATACCCTGTGAGCAGCTGGATTCTGTGAAGGGCTGTATGTCCAGCAAACAGAATTGCTTGAGAGTTCTTTTGTTCTCCAGTCCTTTCTTATATCTTAGAAACCAGTCAAAAAAGAAAAAAGGCTGCAACATTGTTTAAAATTCAATATTTCAAAGATTCATTTATGACAAAATTTAAAGCATTTAAAATAAATGTAGAAATAAATT